GTGGAAATTTTGGATTCTTGATAAGGGGTAGCCGTAGATAAAATTGGAAAAACAAATTACAGAAAAGAAAGAGAGAGAAAAAAATAAATGGGAAATGTGACGTCTAGCGTGGCCGCAAAGTTCGCATTTTTCCCGCCGGACCCGCCGACGTACGAGGTGTACGAGGAAGATGGGCAGCTCGTTATGAGTGGGTTGACGGCGGACAAGAACGTGGACGTTCATTTGGTGGAGACGAAAGGTGGGCATAAAGTGGCGGCCACGTTCTGGAAACACCCATCGGCGAGGTTCACCTTGCTTTACTCACACGGCAACGCCGCCGATTTGGGGCAGATGCAAGAGCTCTTTATTGAGCTCCGGGCACATCTACGTGTCAACATTATGAGGTATCTGTCTCCGATTTTTATTTTTATATTTTTCTTTATTGTTAATTAATTTGTTGGTGCGAGGCGCGAGCAAATTTTTGTTTGTGAATTGGTGTGGTAATTGCTCTAATTTATCAGTATTTAAGTGGCCTTTTTAGGGATTACTGTGATTGTTATGAAAATTATAGTGCATCTATTGTCCTGCCCAAAGCCCCAATTGTTGTGTGTCTGCAACTCGGTTTTTAAGAACACTGTTTCTTGTAATATGTAGAGTTTTTGTTTATTTCGTATTGAGCTAAAGATGTAAAATGGAGGAAGAAATGTTTGTTTGACGTGTTCCTTTTTTTTTTTTTTAGANATCGGTTTCCTTAATTTAGTTGTTGTTGTTTCTGTTGTTGCATCTGATTCAGGTACTTGTAAGTTGGATACATAAATGAGTTTGTGTAGGCACTGATGATTAGAATTTTGAAGTCAGATATGTGGGACTCAAGCAAACTTGCTTGAGATTGACGTTGATAGTTGCAAATTCACGGGGTTAGTTGTTTCCTTGTATTTGATGGTATAGTAGTAGTGGTATTTTGTCCACCTTCGAACAAATTTTGGGAATTTTTATGGTTTGATTTGTTTTCGTTAAATAAAATTTAAGTATGGGTAGCCAGATGTTGGGTTAGATCACAGAATATTCGCTCCTGGGGCAGTAGTTCTTGAGTTTGCTGACTGTTCAAAATATACTGGTTCAAGAATTCATTCGTGAGAAGTTTGTGGTGTTTATAAACTCAGTTTTACGCGTAATGCATCTGTAAACTCCATGCATTTTTCTATTTGACCAATATTAGTTTATGATTTTCCTGCTTTGGATTACCATAACCCAGTATTTGATAGCCATATAGGAGTTAGAGAAGTTCTTTGAATTCTTATTGACATCATGCTTCTTTCTACTCTTTTACAGCTATGACTATTCTGGATATGGAGCATCAACTGGGAAGGTAAGAAAATATCAGTTGAGGATTATATGAAATTCTTTATGCAGTATATTATGTTTCTTCTGAACTTGACATGTGCAAATAGAGTTAATGTAATGAAGCAAATACTTAAAATGTGTTTACAGCCATCTGAATTGAACACATACCACGACATTGAGGCAGTCTATAACTGTATGAAGAGCAAATACGGGATCAGGCAAGAAGATGTGATTTTGTACGGACAATCTGTTGGAAGTGGGCCCACATTACATCTGGCTTCTCGTTTTCCAAGGCTAAGAGCAATAGTTCTTCATAGCGCGATACTTTCAGGCATAAGAGTATTGTATAACGTTAAAATGACGTTCTGGTTTGACATCTTCAAGGTAAGCTTTTCTGGACAAGTTCAAACTGTTTTTCTTCTTTGTTTGATCTGACTGTGATATGTCTGCCTTTTCTTTTCAGAACATTGACAAAATAAGGAATGTTTGCTGCCCAGTTTTAGTCATACATGTAAGAAATCTATCACTTAACTACTTTCTTGCTTATAACCCTAAGAAAAAAAAAAAAGAAAAAACACACCTTCTTTTTTAAAAATATGTTCGGATTGTTTCTGCGCACTTTTTCCACAACTACTTTACTGTCCAATGCATTTAGATTGTATATCAAATTTAATATACGAGTCGGTTATGATATGTTTTCTGTTGTGATTCATGTATGTAAGCATTTTCAATTTTCTTTGATCAAATTAGCACATCCAAGCTAGGTTGGCTCCCTGAGATAGAGTGGCTCCCTTCTTTTATGTTTCTCCTAATTGGATTTGATTATTTCATATTTCAAAATGACAATATTTGAAGTCATCCCCAATTGTCTCCATTGTGTGTTGGACACGGCAATCACCTTATTCGGACATATGCTTATGTGAAAATAATTAAATCAAGATTCAGTTATGATGAAACTTAATTTTCATAACTGTAGTAGTAGTACTTTATATCACCACTTCCGAATGACTACCTAATTTGAACAATATCTAGTGTATGTAGCGTAATTAGTTGTGAACATAATCTCCATCTGGAAAACATGTGGACAGCTATGTCTCTTCAAGTTAAACTAGATTATATGCTACCTTCCTAATGACATTCATCTATCGTCATAGCTTGTAAAAAGCACAACCCACTTTAGTGTCCTCTTAAATTAATGAAACTATCTAGTATCTATGGCTGATAGATTTTTTAATTAAACGGCAATATATCTCAAGAAAAGGAGTAGATATTTTGATATTGTATACTTTTGTCCCTAATACTTCTATTTGTTTAGGAATTCTATTTGTAGACAAACTGACTGGGCAATGTAGGATAGTGAGTTGCCGCTGGAGATGCTATTTAGATGCTATTAAAAAACATACTGTGGTCTGTTGGAAAATATAACTTTTATGAGAAATGGAGTGTTGTCTATATGCATATATCCTTCCTTCCTTTTCGTTTTCCTTTTTCTTTTTCTTTTTTCCCCTCTTTTCCTTTCTATAATAATAACAACGAAGAAAAGACACCACAACTAAAGCAATTTATAACAATACACGAATTAAATTTTGAACTAGCAGTTCCCATATCATGCTTTGACGTTTATAATCCAATAGAAGCACCTAGGAGCAAAAGAAAGTGCTCTTAAAAATTTAACAAGGATGTATCATGGAGAAACAAGTTTGAGGAAAATGTACTGCTTGGCTAAGCAAACTTCCGTGCACTATAGAAACTTACTAGTGTTGATCTGACATAGTTTTCCTGTGCTGCTATACAGTCCTAGATAAACCATACGAAGAAGATTGCATATCCATTAGCCTAATAAATGAATCTTGATGCACTCATCTTGGCAGATATTAGCTATTCCAGCCATGTGTACCATTAGTCTTTCACAAGTTATGGGGACGAAAAATGAAAGTGGAATAGTTAACATTGACTTAAGGATACTTTTTGGCTACTAAAGGAAGTTTTGGTTTTTTGTTCACCATTGGATGGCTCTTCATGGCATGATGCAGTATAAATACGAGTTTCAAAGTGTAACAAGTATAATGTGTCATGTGAGTTAATTTAGCATATGTGTCCACTTTCATAGCTTTTGCAGATTTGGATGGCATAATATGTTCTGTATTGGTTATTTTTTTCTTTCTTTTTCTCTTCCGGAGATGGAAATATCAAATATCTCTAGCAGCAGGGTAAGTCTTTTAAAAGCTGGTGTTAAATATATGCGCATATAATATTTCATCAAAGTTACTGTATTGACTATTGAGAGTGTCCGTAGATTCAAAACTCAGATGATAGAGAACTTCCTATGACCTGTAGAACTTCTTCCTTTTCTTGAGGAATATATACTCGAGGAAATATAATTTATGTAGATCTTAAGAACTACAGAAGAAGCTTAATACTGAAGGTTCTTCAACAAACTGTCAATATTTAAACGAAGCCATGGTTGAAATAAACTTGTGCCATGCCATATTTTCTGAATTTGTCTATGTTTTTCTTTCTTTTGTTTTTCTTTTTTTTTTTTTTTTNTCTTCCATTATAAATTTATAATCACATTTATTTTTATGAAAACAATAGACTGCACAATTCTTTATTTATTTTTTCTGTATTTATTTATAACAATATCATTATAGACTATAAAATTAATGATATAAATATATACAATTATATATTATACATAAAAAATAAATAAAAATATATATTAATTAAACCGGTTCGGCCGCTGGTCCGACCAGTGAACCATTGAACCGATAGCTTCACCAGTTCGATGTCCGGTTCGGTTTTCAGAAAAATGGTTATTGCAATTGAATTCTTGAGGTCAATCTGTAATTTTTTTATTACTTAATTAGTGCATATTTAATTTATTTCTTGTGCATATTTAATTATTTGTTGTGCATATTTAGTTCATACGAAAAGCATATTCGATTCATCCATAGTGCATATTTGTTATATTTAAATTAAATATATACATGATACATATATAGTTCATTCATGATGCATATTTAGTTCATACAAGATGCATATTTAGTTCAACCATAGTGCACATTTTTTATATTTATACATGATGCATATTTAGTTCATTCATGATGCATATTTAGTTCATACAACATAAATATTTAGTTCATCCATAGTTCATTCATGATGTATATTTAGTGCATACTACATATTTAGTTCATCCATAGTGCATATTTGTTATATTTAAATTGAATATATACATGATATATATTTAGTTCGTACATGAGGCATGTTATATCAAATGCATATTTAGTTTATCCATAATGCATGTTTGTTATATTTAAACTAAATATATACATGATGCATATTTAGTTCATTCATGATGCATATGTAGTTCATATAAAATGCATATTTAATTCATCCATAGTGCATGTTTGTTATATTTAAATTGAATATATACATGATGCATATTTAGTTCGTTGATGATGCATATTTAGTTCATCCATAATGCATATTTGTTATATTTAAATTATATATATATATATATATATATATATATATATTGATGCATATTTATTTAATTCATGAGGCATATTTCGTTCATTGATGATGCATATTTAGTTAATAAGAAATGCATATTTGTTATAGGCTTAATTGCAATTAAAATCACCACCTTTACGCTTTTTGCAATTTAAACTCATATGGGTGACTACAACATTGCACTGGGAGATTTGAAGGCTGAAGATCCAAATGCCTATGAGGACTTCATTAAAAGAGATCCATCTAAATTCTGTAAGGCTTTTGTTTCTCCCTTACCTAGGTGTGACATGATAGAGAACAATGTCAGTGAGACATTTAATGGCTTCATTGTCAAAGGTAGAGGGCAACATATTATTGAAATGCTTGAATTTGTGAGGAGTGAGTTGATGAAAAGACAACATGGGAAACTTATGGAGTTTAGCGGTGTTACTGACAAAATTTGTCCTCGAATAAGAACAAAGCTAGAGCAGAACAAATACAAGTCCAGAATTTGTGTCACAAAGCCTGCAGTTGGAGACAGATTTCAGGTTGCCTATGAAGATGATCAATTTTGTGGTTGACTTGAGAAGTAACACATGTACTTGTAGACAATGGGACATAACTGGAGTACCATGTGTACATGCTTGCTCAGCCATACATTTTCAGCACAAGGAGCCAACAGACTTTGTTTCTGAATACTACTTAGTTGAGAGGTACTTGATGATGTACAACAACTCCTTGGAGCCACTCAATGGAAAGAAGTTGTGGCCAGTGGCAGAAGGCTACCCAATCAAACCACCTCCTTTCAAGAAAATGCCAGGTAGATCTAAGAAAAAGAGAAGAAGAGCTCCAGAGGAAGAGTTGAGATGTGGAACTAAGTTGAGAAGGTTTGGTTTAACTATGACTTGTCAAAGGTGTTTCCAGAAGGGACATAACAAGAAGTCTTGTACTAATCCCCAAGTTGAAAAACCTCCTAAGGTATTATAACTGATTATGCTATAATTAATTTTCAACTGATTATGCTATAACTGATTTCAATTACAATTATTGATAGAATCCAAGAGGGAGGCCAAAGAAAAACCCAGGACAACAATCAACCCAAGAGGAAGTTGTTGAAGCTGGGAGTCAGAATGTTGCTGCAGCTACTCAGACTCAGAGGAGAAACAAACTACCTGTTAGGATCTCTCCTCTTTGATACAAAAAGAACGAGCCTTGGTAAATCATATACAAACTTGTTTATGTGACAAGTCTTGTTTCTTTTTTTTCTTTTTATTCAATTAACTTGTACTCATGTACTTGGTTTGGTTATATTCAGGCTAGGAAAGGATATGGTATTTTACAGTCTGAGGAAACAGGGAATACTTATATGAGGGTATGTTTTACATAGTTATTATCTTGTTCATATTATTGATAAATTAGTTGCAGTTGTGACTATTGCAGCTGTCTTTATGGTATTTTGTCATTTCTTTAATTTTCTTCTGTATGTGACTCTTGCAGTTGTCTTCTGAAAGAAGGGTGCATCTCATTCCTAGAAAGGATGCAAGTGGGTCAAGAAGCAAAGCAAGTGGATCAGGAGCAAGTGGATCAGGAAGCCAAGGTACTAGGAAAAGCAAAAGAGTTGAAAGTAGGAGTCCAAGAAGGAGTTCAAGACTGAGAGCAAGTGAACAAGTCTTGGGCACTCAAGAAAGTTCTGCACACAAAAGATGATTGATTAGGCTATTTGAACAAGTCTATGTATTTGGATATGAATGTGTGATGGTGATTCTGTGTGTTTTGTCTTTTTTGTTTTGAAGATGGTTTAAGAACAGTACTGTGACCATGTTTTGGGGATTTTGTTGTTTGAAATGATGCCAAACATTATTCAGCTTGCCAAACACACATGCTATGAAACAACAATTGGTCTTTTGACAAAATGAGGCTGTGCATTTGTTAATTTTTTTTTCTGCTGCTGGTTGTGTTGTGTTGTGTTATGATCAACAAAATGAGGGTTATGGAATGACTGAATCATGTGGCATTGCCTCTCTTGGAGTATCTACTTTAGGTGGATCTGAAAGTTATAAAAGCATTCAACAAAAAATAACAATCTTACTAATTCAAACTAATCAGTGAAAGTACTGCCCAAACATTATAATATTACACATAATCCATTAGTTCAACCAAATATTACTCAAAGCATACTGCTTACATTACACATAATCCATGAAATCAAGCTAAAATTGTTCAAAACCTACTGCAAAAAAAAAAAAATTACATTACACCTTAATTTCAGCATTTCATCTTAGGATTACAGCTTCATTTCAACATCTTCATTCTCTGTCCCTTTCCATCCTCACCAAACCAACCCATAACAACAAGAAGAGCAGCTACAACCAAGCAAAAAATGAGAACATTCATCTTCTTTTCTAAGTTTTGCACATGAGTATCTACTGTGCTCTTAAGGGTCAACATAATTTCTGCATTTTTTTGAGCTATATTACCAAGCTCATTCACCCTGCTCTGAAGCTCCTCTACCATGTCAAAGTTTTCATCTTTCACTTCTGTATGCATTTTCTCCATGCCCAGCTTGCACCTTAGCTGTTTCTCTAAATCCTCTTTCTCTGCCTTCATTCTTAAATAACATGACTTCTGGAACTCGGGCATGGGCGGATCAATCCATTCAAATAAACCGCAATCTAGTATCTGCTACAAGATAAGTGTGACCTACAGCTCAAAAACAAAAACTGAAATACTGCATCAACACCACGTATTTACCTTTCTATTTCGACACCGGTAGAACCTTCTACATGGATTATCGGTCGTCTTCGATGTCAGGATGTCTGCCTCACCATGACAGCATCCCATTCGGCCGTGAAGGTTCGAACTGCCATTACTCTGAGAACTCTGGCTTCTGTTGGAAGAGAACGACATTTTCAGAGGTATGGGGACGAGCAACTCAAGTAGGTTTGCAATTGGGAAGGAGAAGCTCGGCAATTGGGAGAGGAGCTCGAAATTGGGGCGATACGAAGTTTAATTTGGGCGATTTAGGCGATTAGGGTTCTAATAGGGAAGAATCGAATTAGATGCATTTTTATTTGAGTGTGTGTGACACTGTGGAATCCTCGTCAGCGAAGCCTGATGACACGTGAGACGGCCTGCCGGACACGTAGGCAAGGAGCTCGCTGCCGATGAACTTTGGGTTCGGGTTGCAAAATTTAAAAAAAGTTGCGATTTGTTTGCAATTACCTTAAGGTTGAGTTTAAATTGCAAAAAGCGTAAAGGTGGTGATTTTAATTGCAATTAAGCCTTTGTTATATACAAATTATACATATAATGATGCATATTCAGTTCATTGATGATGCATATTTAGTTAATTCATGATGCATATTTACTTAATACGAAATGCATATTTGGTATATTTAAATTATATATAATGATATATATTTAGTTAATTCATGATGAATATTTAGTTCATTCATGATGCATATTTAGTCCACTGATGATGCATATTTAGTTCATTTATCATATATATATATATATATATATAGGAATTGGTTCCAATGCATCCCATTATTTAAAGTGAGGACGTGAGACTCATTCCTAGCCATAAGATTTAGATCTTGATTTAAATAATAATTTTTTATTTTTATTATTTAATTCTTTATTTTTAATTATTTAAATATTATTATGACCATTGATCGTTGACTTCCGGCGAAAATCGTTGACTTCCGGCGTTGACCGTTGACTCCGGCGTTGACTTCCGACGTTGACCGTTGACCATTTGTATTTTGTTATGTTATTTAACAACGCCCCGGAAGGGCGGGGGATTGGGCAGGATCCCCAACCTGTACATAGATCAAGACCCGAAAACTGGGGCCCAAAGTGTCAACATAGTCTCACAATCAAGACAGAAACGAAAAACGAAAAAGAAAGTAGTACAAGATATGTCATCGGGCTAACAGGTGCCCGGAATAAATGGATGGTCTAAGAAGAACAAAACCAGAAAACCTAATCTACTGGAGTCGAAATGATGGATATCCCAGCTGATCCATCCGAACTAGCGTGCGAAGGCGGAGTGGAGCAGTGTAGGTCTGATATGTGTGCGTGTCTGGCATGGTAGCGCCAAGGCTGGCAAGGTAATCAGCAGGTCTGTTCCCCTCACGGAAGATGTGTGTGATCCTGTAATGGACAGACCGAAGTAGATCTCTAATGCGCATAAGCGGGTGCTGAATCTGCCACGAGCCCTGATGACCCGAGGCCAGGAGGGTGACGACAGCCGCAGCGTCCAGCTCAATCCAAATATGACTAGATAGGTCGGCAGCAATCCGAAGGCCAATCTGTAATGCCTGAATCTCTGCATCGTAACTCGAGGAGGCCTGAAGGGATGTGTGGAAGGCGGTAATAAGAGCTCCATTATGGTCCCGGATCAAGCCTCCTCCTCCGGCAGTACCACTATGGCGATCGAAAGATCCATCGGTGTTCAGCTTGACCCAAGGAGAGTCGGGTCGAAGCCAAACAACATCTCTGGGCCGAGGGGACCGAACAGGCAGAGGGGGAGCCACTCTATAGCGATGTGGTGGCGTGCAGCCTGTCCAGTCTCGTGCAGAAAGCCTGCCCAATGCTGTGAGGAGTGAAATGTGTCTCTCCACCTGCAAAACAATGTGAGAAAGCAAAAAAGTAATATCCCTATGCTTCGCACTATACCTTTCCGTCCAGGTGAACCAAAGGATCAGACAAGGAATGTGGAAGCTCACGTGCCTAAAGTGTGTGCTCTGTGAGAAAAAACTCAGTAGCTCAAAAAAACTGTTTGTGGAGGGTAGGGATATATGAGTCCAAGTAGCAAAATGCTCCCACACTCTCCTCACAATCTCACTCTCTAGAAAAAGGTGGGTAAAGGTCTCGGTCTCAGAACAACACACACATCGGGAGGGGAAGGAGATCCCCCTCGCATGTAACACAGTGTCCACGGGTATCCGGCGCAAGAGGAGGCGCCAAAGGAAAACAGATATGGTAGGGGTGAAAAGGTCGCTCTAGATGGCTCCGAAGAGGAGATTCGGCCGATCTCTCAGCCTGATCTGCTCCCAAGCCGAGGTAGTAGAAAACACATCCGATGATGTAAGTTTCCACCTCATACCATCCGAACCGTCCCCCGAGATGGGTATCTGCTGGATCCTATCTAATAACTGCTCACTAAAACCCGCCCCGGTGCCCAACTCTCTATCAAGCTTCCCCCTATCCCATGACCCGTCCGTCCAAAGGTCGCGCACAAGTAGGTAGGGGGAATGCGACACCTGCCTATCTCTAGACAACGGCCTATCACCTAACCACCACTCATCCCAGAAACTAACCTCACCATCCCCCAAAACCCAAAAAATGTGATCCTGGGCACGCCTACCAACCCTAGTAAGACGCCGCCACTGTCTGCTATCATGCGCAACCGCCGTCACCCAACAAGGGTGGTTGGCGCGTCTAGAGCAGTACTTGCCGCGAAGGTACTGGGCCCAAAGCGACTTTCCTTCCCTGAAGCGCCACCACAACTTGTATGAGGAGGCAGTAACAATATCCCTAAGGCGACGGATGCCAAGGCCACCCTCAGGGAGAGGGCGGCAGATCAACTCACCCAGTGGGTACGTCTCCCCCTCCCCGAACCATCCTCGTAACCCCAGAAATAACGAGCCATGATTTGGTCAATCTCGTCAAGGGTGGACCTAGGGGGGTCGAGGACCATAAGTAAATGAAGCGGAAGGGAGCTAAGGGTGCTCTTGATTAGAGCAAGCCGACCACCGAACGAAAGATGTCTATGCGACCAACCAGAAATCCTATCGATAATCCTCTGCCTGATGCCCGCAAAGAGCGCTCTCGTGAGGTTGCCCTTATATAAAGGGACACCAAGGTAGGTAATGGGAAGGTCGCCATGCACAAAGCCAGTGATCTCGTGGACTCGCTGAGCCCACCTGTCTGCGCTGGAGGAGGAAAGGGTAAATGTGCTCTTCTGCACACTGATCAGCTGGCCAGTAACCAAGCTATAATGCTCCAGAAGGTGCATAAGCTCGATCAGCCCATCATCATCCGCACGAGTGAAGATGATGATGTCATCCGCATAAGAAAGGTGAGAGACGGGGGGACCATAGCCACGGGTGCTGTATGTCATCTGAGGATAGTCGCGGATAAAGCCGTCGAGGCAGCGAGAGAGGTAGTCCGCCGCAAGAACAAAAAGGGACGGGGAAAGGGGGTCTCCCTGTCTAAGGCCTCTAGATGCAGGAAAAAAATCTGTGGGGCTGCCATTAACCAAGACCGAGAACGTGCAATGCTCCACACACGCCTCTACAAAGCTGATCTAACGCTCCGGGAATCCCATCCTAGCCAGTGCCTCCCTTAGAAACGGCCACTCCACTCTATCATACGCCTTAGCCATGTCTAGCTTCAGCGCAATATTTGGTGCCCGCTTCCAGTCTGCATGGGAGATATCGTGGATCATCTCCTGGGCCAAAAGTATGTTATCACTAATGACCCGATCCTTGACGAAGCCACTCTGGTTCGGAGAGATGAGGGAGGGGAGAATAGGGGAAAGACGGCTGTTAAGAATTTTCGAAATAAGCTTATTTGTCACGTTACACAGGCTGATGGGCCTGTAATCGGACCAAGAGCTCGGGTTAGGTCTTTTGGGAATCAAGACGACAGAGGTAGCCGTGAAGGAATCCGGTATCCGGTGATCGGTGAAGAAGTCCAATACCGCTTCCTCAACATCAGGCTCGACTATATCCCAGCAGACCTGATAGAAGAGGGAAGAGAATCCATCGGGGCCAGAAACGCTGTTGGGATCAATCCCAAAAACAGCATCCCTAACCTCCTCCCTGCTCGGGAGCTCACAGAGGTCGACAAGGTCGACCGAAGGAGGGATAATAGGGAAGAAAGAGATGGTCGGGGCAACGAGGGACCTTCTGTCAGAGGTGAAGAGGGTCTGGAAGTGAGTAACAGCTGACTCCCGAATCTGAGACTCCTGGGTCAGGAATGACCCATTTGCCTCAATACTATGGATGTACGACTTAGCACGCTTCTGCCTAACGAAGCCCTGGAAGAACCTAGTGTTCTGTTCGCCCTCTGCCACCCAGCGAACGGCCGCCTTCTGCTTCTAGAAATCCTCCTCCATAAGGAGTCGGAGCTGGTACTCGGCGTGGCAGCGATGCATCGCAGTCCTATTCTCCGGAGTGGGATCCAGGTCATAGGCCCGCTCAGCCTCCGCATGCGCACTCTGAGCCGCAGAAAGGCGCTGATGGAGGTTTCCAAAAACATCCCAGTTCCACTGTCTCAACCTACTCCGTAATCTGCCGAGCTTAGCTTCGAGATTGCGCATCCCGAAGAGCCCAGTCGGTTGAAGCCAGGAATCTCTGACAGTGTCATGGAAAGAGTGGTGGTGAACCCACATGTTCTGGAACCTAAAGAAAGCGCGTCGGGGAGTGCTCGAGAAGCGACACCTAATGAGGAGAGGTGAATGGTCAGACCCAAATCGAGTGAGATGCGTGACGGTCGTGACCGCAAACACCTTCGACCACGCTTCAGAGACCAAAGCACGGTCGAGCCTCTCTTTGAGGTCGTCCCTAACCCACGTGAAGGGCTCACCCTCACATCCAGCATCTATCAGCTCACAGTCCGCCATAGTCTGAGCAAAGTCCCACATCTCCCGGGACCGGTCCGTGCGGCCACCCACACGCTCATCGGGGTGCAGAAAGATGTTGAAATCACCATTAACCATCCATGGCAATCCCTCCATACTCTCAGCAATCTCACGCAGGGTGTCCCATAGATCATATCGCCCTACTCTATTACACTTGGCGTAAACCAAAGTGTGAAATATGGGCTCAGGGAGATGGGCGGCAGAAAGCTCGACATGAAGCACCTGATCGATGTCCCGGAGGACCCGACAAGTGTAGTCACGCGAGTGGAAGAAGAAGATCTTATGAGAAATGTTACCCACGCCCGAATGGAAACCAAGACGACGTGAGAGATAGTCAAAGTCAGGGGTGCGAATCATCG